CGGAAAACTCTAAATCGTTATCCAGAGTTATTTCCAAAAGAACAGTACCCTCGTTGAAAGGCCATATGCCTCGATGCCCTCTGTAACTCAAGGAGAAATAACCGAGAAGATCATTACTTTACATGTAAACTATCAAAATGACTTTTCAAAAAGCAGCTTATCCTCTTTAGGATGAGTCATATCACATGATTCCATATATAAGAACCGTTTTGTCGGCACTGTTATTACTACAAGTTGGGCTGAGTTTCACAATAGCTACACTGGCGGAAGAAATGAACGAAGACCCATCTGTTACATAGGTTCGCTATTTTTTTTATTTTATTTTTTTGATTTTAGAATAGAAACAATGTCGTTAACTTGAGCTATAAACTTACTTTACCTGCGGTGATGAAAAACACCGTCTGGGGGAATAGACATTGTTCCTCACCTATGCAGTGGTATGCTAATATTAATTTTGTTCGAGTAACGATTGACGAAGATATTTTTCTTGGAAAAGATCTTTAGTTGTTTAGCGTCTCTGAAAATTAAAATGTAGAGCGAGTGTAAGATCTCCGTCTCTGATGAAAATACAACCGACTTAAGGTTACTACAAGGCTTCGGTAGTCTTAGTCGCTGCCGTTATTAGGGTCGTCACGCAGCGCTTGCGTGACCACCCTGATAATGGCCACGAAGGAGACTAAGCAGTTCGTGGGTTTCCTTCAAACAAAAATTCGCACACCCGCTGTTTTTAAAGAAATACCCACAAACTATATATTAATAGAAAAGTCATGAAACGTAGAATTCGTTTAAATTATGCTACGTTTTAATCTTTCCTTTCCTAAGGCGGCGGAAGCGCGTAAATTAAACACAAAATAGACTGTCAGAACAGCTCCGCTAACCGAAAACCTCTGTCGTTTCGCGGGTTTCCGTAAATTTTAAAAGTCTCCTCTCTGTTTGGATCGTGAAAATGAAACGATTCACGATATTTCAACGTCAGCACTGCAGCGAACACTTTACATCAGAAGATTTTATTAATCCTTACTCTAGTAAAAATCGATTGAAGGCCGATGCACTTCCTTTTTTTTAGTGGGATAAAGATAAGCAGGAGAAGGTTCAAGCGGTGAAGAGGTACGCTTCAGAAAAGATGAATCAAAGCAGAAAAGAAAATGAAGTAACGGTTTCGACAGCATCTGAAGGAGAATGTGTCACGTTGGTCTCGACCAGGCCTGGCGAAGAAATTATTTCTCGAAAGACACAAACGTCTTGAGGATGAAATCTGTAGTTAATTAGATGAACATCTTAGAATTCCCCGGTTACATAATTTTTCTCTATCCTACTTTCTTTCCGAATGTACAGCCCAAAGAAAGAGGGCAAATTTATTACACTTTTTACTGGATTTAACAGTCATGGTGAATTCATCAATATTTTAAATTTTCTGTTGCCTAATGTAGATAGAAAAATGCTGATTTACTAAGATACTGCAACAAGAAAATCAAGTGTCATTAACACAGAGAAACTGCTCTCGAAATATACCAAGACTGGGGTAGTCTTGTAAAGATTGCATCACTCGGGATGTCTTTGATATTAAAACAAGAATAATCATTCAACTGGAACAATAATGCAAATACACGATTGCAATGTCCACCGCTTCCTCCCTTCCACGAAGAGCGTGCTTCAATTAAAAACCTCTGCCCTGCAATCGCTCTCCCTGACGATTACGGCTAAAATGAGGCTCTTCTTCAACGTGTCTTGACATGGAAATCCTCCAACTGCTGACACGTGTAAACATCGTAAACATGCTCTTGCGGAAAGAACTTATAGCTTTTCTCTGCAGCATTCTTTTCTCCGCCTTGCTCGGGCCACGAAGACCATGTTCGTTGACTGCCAAATTTTGGAAAGTTCCTCGAGGAGTTTGATCATTTCTATTCTTTATCGAATAAACAACTACTGCAACGCACATGATTAACACAACAAATACAAGCGGCTGCAATAATAAAGAAAATGTTAAAGGAGCCTCGTTTTCACGGAATGTAGACACCCAATTCAATGCCACGTGTGTGTTAGCCGAAAATGACAGAGTGAAGCGTTGCGTCGAGCTATTGGGGAATGAAATACGATCGTTGATGCAAAACAATTGTGCAGTGTTAATGACAAAGCATCAATCTCTCAAATATTCTCAGCATTTTCTTGTATTTCTGTTGGTTACATTTCTACAGATCTGTCAAGTTCTAGTATCAAAAAATTCCCAAAGGGGGTTGCGTTAGGGGCTGCTTTTGTTCCTTATCTATCTGTGAATATTCAGGCCAAAGTTTCCGGGAATTCATCTACCTTACATACCCCGTCAATTGATTTTAAGAGGAGGGATTCTCTTATCAAGCGGGTGCGAGCTTTCGCGCTCTAAAGATTTATAAACATGTCACGCCTTTTCAGAGCGACATGCCAACACGAAAAGCCGCCAGCCAATGAAATAACAGAACCCCCAGCGTTAGCGTTAGCAGACAGCGGCGGACGTATTTTTATTCTATCGTTGAACGCGCGGATAGAATCGCGTCATTGCTTGCTTTCCGAGAAAATGAACTGTAAAGTGAGCTCAATATTGTAGTACCATAGGCATACCGGAAATTTGTTCGTTAATTTCAAGTTCTTGTAAGAGGCTATGCATTTAAAAAAAATATATCAATATACAAAAGCGTTTTTCCTTATATTGCCTAGGTAAGAATTTTAATCCGTCTACGACCGTGAAATAAAAGCATTATGGCGAAATGATGCATTGTCACTAACAGTATACAGTTTTGCGTCATTGGCTGTAGTCGGTAACCTTGTCTATGCACGAAATAGAGCTTAGTTGTTGTCTATTGGTGGAAGCATTGACCACTGTCTAAAATAACAAGCATATGCTAATTTGACTCGGAAGTTGAAAACATCTCTCTTTCTCGGAAACTGAAAGTTCATTACCATTATATAATTTCTTGACTGGTTTGCCCGTTGTGACAACGCATTGATGGAATCTTATGGCAAAATATTTGCTCAAAGAAGTCAAACATTTGGGTAAAAATGAAAGCATTTACAGCGAAATCGAAACAGGCAGAAAACGAATGCAATGTCACTAACAGTTTACAGTTTCAGTTATTGTCTGTACTCGGTAACCATGGCCATGCACAAGAGCTCAGTCGTGTCCTATTGGTGGAAGCATTGACACCTGTCTAAAATAAGAGAGGCATATGCTAATTTGACACACGAGCTGAAAACAGCTGTCGCCTTTGTCGGAAACCGAAAGTGTCTTTCTCCGAAACTGAAAGTGCCTTATCATCAAGTAGTTTCTTAATATTTTAACTCGTTTTACTAGAAACGAACCGAACGGATCCAACACATCTGATACACTTTGAAATGGACTCAGTGGTCCAGTTTGCAGCAATGTAAGTCATGTAAGGCTTAACTCGAACTTTAGCTTGGAAATCATTTTGAAAACGACATTTCTCGGAA